AATGCTCATACACTTCTTTTTCATTGGTTTGACTACTATCAACACATAACTACAATTCAAATCCATAAATAATTGAACGTAACAATAACACGATTCTTGAAATGTGCTAAAGTTGGCAGTTGGTTTAATGGGACCACTCTGAATAGCATAGTTCCTATTAGTCATCCTTAAGTAATTTTTGATTATCAAAAATCCTTTCTCTAGTGAACTGTAATACGCTGACTGAATAGTAAATAAATAGTTTATATTTTGTTTCTTGATAAAATAGTAGGTGACGTCACCAGGCTTAAATGCTTTATTTTTAATGACATTCATTAATCTATGGTCGGACAAAAAAAAATGAGGATTCAAAACATACGAATTATATTTAGATATACATGCTTATTGTTAAGTTTGCTCAGCACTGATGTTTACGTTTTATTTTTGTTTTAATTATTTAAAATATATTTACCCAACAACAATTGAAATAATGTAATACAGTTGTAAAATAATTACTTTTCTTTGAAAGAAGGATATTCTAAGTTTACAACGTCTACCAAGTCATTCTTCAAATTATTTGATTTTATATATACAATATCAATCAGTAGTATTAAGACACTTAACTTGTCTTTAATTTCCAATCATTTTTTTGGTATTATATATATTTTCATTTGAGATGGTAATGGACGATAGAATATCTTAAAATAGGTTATATGATTAAGAAACAGTAAAATATTCCGTTATTTCCGATACTTAATTTGTTGATATACAAACAAATTTGAATTCCGGATCCGGAAAAAATATCGTCAATAAGTGGTTTAATTTTTGACCACCCCAATCCGTCTATTCCACAGTCAATTTGAGGAATGCCTAGTTTGATTTTCTTTTCTCGCATTTTTTCTATATGCGACTTTTATGTATGTGACAATGATAACATCGACGTGCTGTTACATATTGTTTTGTCACTAGATAAAAAGCATATTTTTTTTCGTTTTTAACACCACTCCAACATCGCCTACGGTAAGTTTTTGATCCATAAGTTGATCAATGCCTACAAATTAACGTCTAAATAGCGAAGAAATTAATTATTGTTTTGATCAATGTAAATTTAAAATAGTTTTACTTGAATTGAACCACGACTCCTCTTTCCATACGTAAATCTTCTGCAATGGGTTAAAGCAATGTCCTAGGTAAATTGAACAGATTTTCGTCAACTTCTCCTAATCGCACTGGAAAATATATTTAATTATTTTTTAATGAATTAAAATTCGGTGGTATTAATGGAGTAAATCATAATATATTAATTTCCATTTCCTTTGGTTTGGATTTTTGACACGCTTACATATTCCAAAATCTTTTTGTTTTCATCGTTACTTGTAATAATATTACTTTTTATTTCAACATTTTTATGATTAACTTAAACGATTATAGTTTTTTGATTTGAAGAATGTTGTTTGTATTATTTTAGAATATCTACAAATTTTAAATCATTTTACCCACCTTAGCTATGTAAGGCGCAGCATCAGTCTCAAATATGAGCACTTCATCGTATTTCACATCTTGCGGCCAGAGCAAGTTTAAAGTTTAATGTTTGATCAAAAATCTTAAAAATTTTCAAATGGTTTGTATATTCTTATTTTCCCGAAAATAACAAAAAATACTACCACGTTCATTAACTATTAAAATTCTCGGTAAAATATGATTGAGAACACTCGAGTTTTTTTTTTTCAACGTTGCTAAATGTAATCGATAATACGAGCACAATAATCTTTTGATATTTATCGGACTTTTATCGGATTAGCTGGATGTTAATAGTAACTTACGAGTAGATACCAGATACAAGAGAATGACGGTTAGGCTTTGCAGTTGTCGCACAAACTATTTGTCAATATATTTCGTAATTTTAAAAGCTCTATTTATTTTATAATTTTTTTTTATACATATATACACTATACAGATATTAGATATTATTATAAGTCCTATATATTTTAATTTTTATTCATATTATATATTAAATATTTTTAGGCGCTTATTTGTATACGGTTATAATTATTAATTTATGACTTTTTTCAAGAATATTTATTGTACTCGTATGTATACTTAATTTTTTCAAAGCCAAATAAATGATATGGCAAACTATGGCAACGGTCCACATAAATCCATTCTCAATCGTATCATTTTTGGGATTTTCTTTTGGGTCAGCGGTAAGTTTTTTGTCAATTTTAAGTGTTCTCAATCATTCGGTCAAAAAGATGTAATGCTCTCAATCGTTTGATAGCTAAAATTCCAATAATTATGTTAGTGATATATCGTCCTTCTGCATCAATAGTTTTGTCAATTAAGACTCAAATTTCTTTTTCTGTCAACAAATTTTTAATTTTTTTTATATTTTTCACAAATATGTCGTCAATATAGCCTTCATGGAGAGTAACTTAATTTGGTATATCTTTTTTTAGTGTACACTTCTAAATATTCTCGAAAATTTTTATTTTCTAGTTTATAAAGTGGTATATTTTCTGACAATATCGCTTTCTATAAGTCTATATTGAATTGATTTTTTTTATAAAAAAAGTATATACGGATACGAGTTTCTGAGTTTTTGTTGACTTAAATTCTTGTCGATTAATATCCTGAATGTGTTTTGTTGTTCTTACATACCTATTGAATTATACTACATCGTTTCTCAGCATTAACTTTAATATCAAATATTTTATTATATAATATGGATTTATCTTCTGAAAACATTTTTTTTTGGGAATTCTTTCATAAAATCATTAAATTGATTATAAGGTTTTAGTTTTGATTTGATCATTTTAATTTTAGATTTGCACGATATTATACGAAAATAAAAACTATACAGCACTAAAACCCAATAAACAAAAAAATAACTGTCAATTTATTGGAAACAAAAAATATTGTAATTGGGAGTACAGGTTATATATGTTATAGTCCATAGAATGTTATATTTTTTATATCATTATCACCTTACCATGAATCAATCGATGATATACCGAGAAGTAATAATATGATCGATCGACGAGGAAAATACAAACACTAATTTTATATAAATAAAACCATCATACCATATGTTAGGTCTATTATTGAAATTGATTCAAGTGTTTGATGAGAGTGAAATTAAATTTTAGTGACCGCAGTTCTGCTTCAATTTCAGCTACTTCCAAGTCGTGCGAATACTCATTTATTCGTTTTAAAACAGTTTAATTATCGGAATTTGTATGTTTTCTAATCTCACAATTTCTTTTTCTACACCTCCAAAATTGTTTTTTCCACGCTATATGCATCAAACACATACATATACCTACCATAAACAAAAACATCATGATGTTGAGTAGATTCTATACGTAACATTTTGGTACTGATTCTTTGCGACGATCAGTATTTCGAATTATATTTTATCACAGTTTTAATCAAAACGTTCCGAGGCTTGTTGTATAAATCCTGAACAAAAATCTTTTTACAAGGAATGGTTAGGTTAGCACTGCGCTTAAGCTCCAACCTGGAGGATCAGAATACCCCAGCCAGTCAATGCCAAGTTATGGTTACACCACTAATATACTGGGCGATGAGGAAACCACATTGAGGATTCGTTAAAAAAAATATATTATTCGATTATAACGATGTGAATATTTAGTATTTTACTCCTCATTAAAATTTAGTATACAACATTTTTTTTAGATTTTTTCATCTTTTTCTTGATTTTAAAAGTCAGATGACTTAAAATAATGTTTATAAGTAATTATAATTTTCAGTTGATTGTTAATTAAAAGTTATAACATAAAATATACAAATTAAATAAATTTATATTTTTAAAAAAATACATGTCATGTTTCTTTTCTTCCTTGTGTACTTATTATCTAAAATTATGTGTAAAAAAATGTGTGTAATATTGCTGTGTCCAAAATAAAACGTAGGAAATATTTTATTTTAAAAAATAGATCTATAATACCTCATGCATACGGCTATTTACTTTATTTTGTAAAAGTAATTTTCAATCAGTAAAATATTTTCTGTACACAGAATATGAACAAAAAAATAAACATAGTTAATTTATCAATAAGTTATAAAGTATCCTCGAAAAGTTACTTTGAGCAAACTTGATTCAAAATCACCATTAATGTATAAGGAATAATAGTAGCTAAAAGTTTATAAGTAAATTATTTTCAAGACTTAGACGATTGCGGATTCCTGAAGTGGCTTCCAACAGTAACATATTTTTATAATAATAAAAAATATAATATAAAAATAATAAAATTGAATTTATAGAAGGTTAAATGTGTACTACGAGAACTTTTAACAATATGGTGTACGTAAATGTTCAACGAAGTTTTAAATAAAATACGCAAACTAAATAAATAAGAGCTTCAATGGTTCCTGCCAATTATTTTATATGATATTTTTTGTTGTTCGGCAAGTACTGTTCTCTGTCAGAATATAATTGAAATATTTCTGTAGCCAAAATTCTAAAATAATAAAGGACGAAAAATATATATATGTTAAGTATAAAATTTATTTTTATACTGTAGAATATTTTCTGATCCAAAAATATTTATGAAAATGGGAAAAATTTTAATTAACTATGTAAACAATAAGTAAATTGATGACCAGAAATCGTAGGATATATAGACTAAAAAAGTAAAATATATAAAAAGTAAATATATTAATGTATAAATAAAATGAATAACACCGTATGTGTATATGTTTAATTTCTTGTATTTTGCACTCAATTATTTACAAATAATTCAAACTTTTTAATTTCAAAATGATTTTTATTTGAATTGTAAATTATATCTTCGTGAATTTGCAATACATCTCCAGTTGCTTGCAAATCGGGTTATTGGCTGGTTTTAAGGTAAGCTGACAATTTGGACAGAAATACCTGTGTACTATAAATTATTAATCTTAAAACTAATTTGACTAAAATGTCTAAAATAATTAAATAAATTAACAATAATTATTAGTGAGACAATATTTTGGTTTTATAACATATTAAAATACATACTATAATTTTACATACAATAAAATAATAATTAAATAATAAAAAACCAAAATTTACTCTTCACAGTATTGTTTGATTTCTCTACAACCCAGTGACTTAAAATATATACATAGATAATAAATAGTAAGAATTTTCATAGTGTATTAGAATAAAAACTAGTATTTTTGTGAAGTCTAAACTCAATTTTACAATAATTATTGCAAATGCATATTAAATATTCGGTGTGACCTCCATTGTTTTAACACTATTATAGTTGAGGACCACTGCTAATATAATAAATACAATACCCAAGGCGACCAGTACGAATTTGGCATATTTGACGATGGTAATTGGTAAATATAGTTTATTTTTTATTTGACTGGTCCACGTTTTATTCAAAGCAATTCCCTGTAATTAAAATAAAAACAAATAAGAATGTAAGTAAATAAACAAATAGTTTGTGTACAGATATGAATGAATAAATAAATGAATAAATGTCTAGAGTATTATTATATTTGTGAAGTACGATCGGTTTCAAATTAAAAATTCATTCTCAGGTACATACAAAGTCAATAAAATCATGACTAAAACTTATATATTAATCTTAGAACAGTCACAAAGAATGAAAGACTACATTTGTAATCGGCGTAAATTGAAGAGGGGATATCACACAACCTTGCCGAAATTCTCATTGTGTAGTGCGTGACAGAAAGTTTAATTGAAGCTTTCAATATCGCGTGTTTGCCTTTGAGGCCTTCTTACGTTATTACGAATCAATCGTTAACACACAGCTCGCATCCGTACATGGTTTGATCTCCCTCCGCGTGTATTTGTACCACCGTGTGACTATGTTCCACGATTTTTTTATCACTTATCTAGAGGAAAAAGAAATGGACATTGAAAACATCTGGTTTCAACAAGACGTTGTCGCAGCGAGAATTTTAATAGATATCATCCATTTCACTTTTCCTGGAAATTTGGTTTCTCGAAATGGTAACGTTCCTTGGCCATCCTGGTGACCCGATCTTTTGCACTGGAACTACTTCCTTTGGAGGTATTTGAAGTCGAATGTTCATTTCAACCAGCTGAGAACTTTTCAAATTTTAAGGGCGCAATTAGAAGAGAAATTGTATCAATTTCCGTATAAATGTTGGATATAGTGATGAAAATTTTTTTATGAGCGTCTCAAATAATGCATATCCGTGTACGGACATTATCTATTCGATATTCTGTTACGCACTGAATTGTTTTTCAATAAAAATTCCCAAAGTTCACAACAGCATGTTATTTAATTCGTCTCTCTACATCAACAATTTAAATCGTGACGTCAATTTCAAATGTGGTATTTCAGTCTCTGCCACTCTGTACATATTTGTAATATATACAGTATATATAACTGATGATGCATTTTTAATTCGGAACCAGCCGTACCTTACAAATATAATATAACCCCAGACTAAGCATTTATTTATTTATTTTTATATATTAAATATTTGTTAATTTATTTGTATATTATTTATGAGTATTAACCATTTATCAATTTTTAATATTTTTATTATTTTTATTATTTTATTAAAACCAATTAATTTTAAAGTACATGTTATGTATTAGTGAATTAAAATAACATTTTTTCTCTGTAAAAAATAATCTCAGTTAAGGATTCAAATGCAGATGTTTTGAAAATAAAAATATGTACCATATATTTATTACCCTGTAAAAATGTTCATTAAAATTATAATAACTCTGAAATACGTGATGATTTTTATGATTATATGAGATAATTTTATGATGTTACATATTGATTTTTAGAATAATAATTACTGTCACAGAACTTAATTTAAAATGTACACTTATTATTTTTGTGTAGAACAAAAATAATTTAGCGAACATTTATTATACAATTATATTTTCAAGTGACAGAAAATAATATTATTTAAAATAAATTAATTTCTCATTTAAATAAAACAATTTTAGTATGAAAGAAACGAAGAAAGACGTGAAATCAAAGTGGTTACAAATTAAAAAAATTAAGAATCACTAATTTAGAAACCAAAATTCAGAGAATTTACATATATTGACATTGATCAATTTCATAATTTATATAATATTTTAGAATCACTAAAATACTGTAGGTAGCTAAATGAGTAAAAAACACAATTTAATTAAAAAAAAAAAAAACCTAGCCACTGAAATGTTTTAAAGAATTTGGAATGTTATTTTATTCAAGTTATTCATAAAGAATTAATACCAGTGACTTCTCAGTTAATATTTTTATAAATTATAAATTCATTGGTTTTTATAAAATTGTTATAACAATTTATGTGATTGTTTCTACAAATAGAGTTAAAATTGCTTTACCTCTTCGACCCAGAACAATGGCACTAATTTCTCTTCTTCGTTTAGCGTTTTCATAACTGTTATCTTTGGTTCTTTTTTCAAAAACATATTAAATTGCATACGTCTGTAACCAAGTAGTGGAGTGCCAGTCATCTGAAAAATAATATAATTGCAAACCCAATAAATAAATAATAAAAATAAATAAATAATGTACGATAGTAATTATAATAAAATTGTATAATTTGTATTTAATAGAATTTTGTACGTGAGATATACTCACAGGTTCAAAATACATTTTAATTCTGTGATTTTCATCTTTAGGGCTTAATCCATCGACATCTTTTAAATATTCTTCAGACTTATAAAAATGCGGAAGAGTTGCTATTATCGGAGAACCTGAGTAACATAATAATTTTTATTTTATTTTATAGCACTTACAATTATAACTATACAATAAATAACTATACAACTTACATTATATCTTTTAAATATAAATAACACTATTATTTATTTACTTATATTATATTTCGAGATATCTTATCATTAAGAAAAAATTAGTTGCGTTTTGTATTATTTTTAATCCATGTAAGTATATACATTTTAAAACGCTCCTGATATAGTCGAATTCTAAAAAAACACACGAACCTGAACAATTTGTCAAATCCAACGCACCATGTTTAAGACATTTTTTCTTATTCAAACAGAAACATTTTTCTTCTGGTTTTACCAACATAGCTGTATATTCAAACACCTTTAAACCATTATACTGCGTTTCTTGAACATAGTCTGTATTCAATGATCTAAATCATATTAAAATATAAAATTTAAACCATGAAAATATTTAAATTACGTGCATATCATATTATTACTTGTAATACATATAATTTGGTTCGTTGAAATTAATGATATTTGAAATAAATTGATGAAATAAGTATTTAACAACTAATTTTACAATATTTTTACCAGAAAATTATTGATTTATAGATTTTCAAATTAGTTTAATAATAGATTTTCATTAAAAATGAAATGTTATTATCTTCATTTTTTTATATTAAATGAAACAGATATCTAATTACATCTTTATAACATTCGGTTACAATGTCCAAGTTTTAATAAATATATAGAAGCAAAACATTTTCATAAGGATAAATTCAGATAAATTTTTAATAAAATACTGTCAGCATTTAAAACAACATCATCGATGCAAAAAAATGATACTTTTCTACTTGATGTAAAATGTTTTATTCATCGTAAATATATTTTCAAAATGTAGGTTTAAAAGGTTAGGTCATTACTCAAACATATAATGTTTTTTTAGTAACTTTATTGTTATATTTATTTGAGCTTCTATATATATTTCTTGTAACGGAACCTACAATTTTTATTTTTATTAATGAAACAAAAAAAAAAAAAAAAGCAGAATATGTATATAAAGAACTTTTAATGTAAATAACAATTAATTTAGTTTGATAATTTTAACACTATATTATATTTATATTAAAAACTAATTCAAATTATATTAGATTGGTATACAATTTGTGAATTTATTCTCAACATTTGAAATAAAATATTTAAAAATAAAACGATATTTTCAAACATAAAAGTTCTTAAATCCAAATGATTATAAATACTAATACTGTGATAAAGAGTGATTCAATTGAATTCGATATAAAATTGAAATTATTATAAAAAAATCACTCTCCACTACAAATAATCTTTTGAGAAATCGCGAACTTAACATTTTTATTATGTCGTGAAATATCTAGTTTTATATATATATTTGTGATTCTTAGTACAGTTAAAGTATTTATATTTTAAATAAAATATAATCAGTCCTCGAAATATTGAAAAAATTATATTTTATTAAAGAATTTTGGTAGTTTATAAAGCTAGTAATTAAAAATAAATATTTAATACAATAATTGTACTTACATGTACGTGTTAAAAATGCTTATTCAAAGGTTTTAATAACTCAAAAAAATAATTTAAAAATTTGTTAAAATAAAACAAATATTAAGAAATATTCTATACAGAAAAAAATATTAAATCCATCGTGTATTAGATATTTCATATAGATGGAAATTTAATAAAAAACCTAGTCTTAGAATAATCGGCGTTTGTGCGTTAAACCATATCAGCTATAATATCATCGCTGTAGACATTTGAATATAACGTGCTGTAGCTTTACCGGCAAAGGTCACCACTGAAGCTGGCCAAGTTGGTGTCTGTCGAGATGAATGGTTGAAATATTGTTGTATCCGTTCCGTATATCCGATTACACTCGTCACCCGGCCACACGTCCATCTTGTGCTTGCCATTGAACCGAATCACCTGACCGACATCCATGGGCATTTTCAACCCGCGGTTCACTACGTAGCGATTGCTTTCAACCGTTCCATTTTTCTAAACGAATCATTGGTAAAGGGTCGTTGAGAAAAATTGGGAAATTTGAATTAACTTTCATGGGTTAGAAAAAAAAAATATTTAATTATTTAATTCGTAAAGAGTGGGGAGTACAAAAGTTATAAATTTCATGTCTTGAAATCAATATCCGTAAGATTGTGTCCATTCATATATATATATATATATTACTGAAATCGAACGCTGTCACGGGACACTTCAACACTTGAAAAATCATACTATCGATCGCGACTACAGTTTAGTGATAATATCACTAAAGAAATTATAATTAAATACCTATTAGGACAAAATACATTTATGTTTAAGGAATGTATACGTCCAAATAGACACCATATCCTTTACATTAACTTTAAAACATGATACTTTTAAATTTTGGACTCTCAATAGTGAATCATTTAGATTCATTTTCAATCATTTTATTTTACTTTTGTAAATGTATATTAAAATTTTCCTTTTTTATAACTATGAATACAATGTATAGATTATGTTACTGTTAAGTACGAGGTTACTGATGTAATAAACGTACTTGCTACTACACGGAGAAATGCATTAATAGTGTTATTGCAGGTATAGTACTGAAAAAATTGTGTAAATTAATATCGGTTTTAAAATAAATAGTATTTACACCAATTTTTTATAAATGATAACACCGACCGTCAAAAACTTTTGACTTGTACTTTTGACCTCATTTATTTCAGAACCATCCATTTTTTATGAAGCATAAGTTATTCGTAGCAATATATAATTATAATAATAAACATTATACTATGCTAAAACAGAATATATAATGTATTTTGTGATGGAGGTTAAAACTGCCCCTTTGTTTGTGTCATATTAAAAAGAAATATTATAGGATAACAATTGTGTTTAAAATAAGGATGGCATTTATTTATTAAATATTGGCAGTTTTTAGATTCTGAGGAAAACTAGAATACTACCAAAGAACTATTATATCAACCACCTTTAGAAGTAAAAACTATTTAACCCGACCTCTTTCACTCAGAAACATTTTTCGAGAATAATTTTACATTGGTTTTAAGTTTAAAAGACTAATAATGCAATAGCATTCATCCCTGCATCTCATCCGACCATAGAGTCTCATCTGACCTAGAATTTTCGTCTTTTTTTCATTAATATTTTAATTGATGAATATAAGTATAATGTATTTATATCTGGTTTAGAAAATTTTCAAGTATCACTACTATTTACCTATTAAAAATAATTATGCTTTCTTATGATTCTTAAACTCGTTTTCTGTGTTATGTTTTAAGATACATTTAGTTTTGTGCATTTATTTTAAATCCATATAAGATTTTGGTTAAGTGTTCATTTAATGTATTTAAAACTGATATATTGTAAATTCTAAATGCATTATCATTAATATTTTCATACCACTCCTAGTAAGGAAAATTTGAAATGATTATTGTTGATTTTGTGTAAGCTTGCTGAGTTTTGTCTTATTTGTGTACAAACTGCAACGGCTGGAAACTCCGAAGACGTACAGTTTATATCCAAACCATTCCACATAATATCATTAGCAGTTGCAGTCATAAAAGCATTAGTTTGATCTGGATATAACAGAGGAATGGCTTTATTAATTAAGCCTATTGCTGCTGGTTTTGTCATTTTAGTCATTGTCACCATTCCCTGAAAAAGTCGAATACGTATTAAATGTTTTTTTTTATTTCAAACTCTACTTGTAGTAATTGAAACAATAAAAATTAATATTTATATTTTTTGGCTAAATAATTTAAATTACAAAAATAATAATTTTTGTTATTTTAAGATGATGCGCTCAAAATTGAATTGTTTCAAAATATAATTTATTTTCTGAAGTGCTCAGAAATATGTTTATTTAAGTTTAAAGTAGTTTGAAAATTTACTACCTTCAGTCTAATTCAATGCATTTTTTTTTTTTTTGTTTTTTAAATAATTTTTATAAATAATTTATAATTACTATTTTTTACTTATGAGTAAAATATTTATAATTACCAACAAATGGATTGTTTTTTTTTATGTATTTTGATTTCATTTTATTTATAATTAGCTCTGGTCAGTTTTGTAGGATTTTTGTTTTTTGTGTTTATAAATGTAATTTAAAGAATTATTTAAGTACAAGATGAATGTCGGTTAAACTTATAAAGGTATAAAATACTGTAATTTTCTTGTTTTATTTTAGTATATGTGGGAAAATAACATAAAAAAACCAGACAATTGTTGGTCAGATTTAGCTAAGTTAATAAATGTTTATTTTTAATCAAAGAAAAAAATAAAAATAAATGGAAACTGCTAATAGTAAACTTACTATTAAAGTAGAAACTAATTCAACTACTTTCTATGGTATATGTAATGCTTACTCGTACAGACCAACCTTTACGTAATAAAATTTGCTATATTTCTAATAAAGTAGAATCTCAGTAGCTCAGTGTCAAATGGGAGGATAAATAATTTAAGTTATTATGAATACTGATTTATCTAATGAACTCAAATTGTGTAATATCAAATACATTTTAAATTAAGTTCGTTCAATAAAATATTATAGTAGTAAATATTAAGTATATTATTATAATTACTTTGAAAAAAATGACCAATATTGTATTTATACATTCTTAACCGGTATTTTATCATACCAAATATTCTTAAAATAAAATATAGATTATAATTATTTACTTAAATTTGGAGTAAAATATATATATATTTTAAAATAATTAATATATTTATTATATTTTTAAATGTTTATATGTATAAATATAATTACATACACCACATCATCTCTGATATATATTTTCGGGTGCATATAAATTCAGCCTAAAAGTGGTAAATTCCACCATAAATAAATTGAATAAGGTACATGTAACCGGGATGGACTGTATTTGTGACTAAATACCGTATTTATGTCTATCTAGAAAAACTTTGTACTTAATAAAATGTTATTATAATAAGTATATTGTGCTATAATTTATTATTATATTAAGTATTATTTGAGCCTATATATTAATTTGACAACATCGCAGTATAACTTTAATTCCCGCTTTTTGTTGACTTTAAACAAATAGAATAAAATATACCTACTAATTATTCCAGTAATACATTACCAATCAATAAATTTGATAACAAGGTGTAGTGGTCCTATAATGAAAATAGTTATACAAAATTAAATATTTTAATTTTTAAAGCTCTATTTAATAAAAAAATTAATTTCTTTATCTGTCTGTTATAATCATATATTCATACCTACATTTGTGTCTTGTAAATAATTTTTATTACTTCGATTAGGTATTTTACTACTAGTCGAACGTTATTGTTAGTCTATTGTCATCGCACGTGATAACGTGTTTATGTTTTAATAAAAATGTTTTAAAGATTTACTTACTGTCGATAGTTTTAAATTTAAAATGTTTACGAAAGTAAATCTGGTAATGTTACGTAGTGTTATACAATGAAATCCTGTTTAGCAAGACTTATTGAAAATGGAAATCCAACTACGAATAACAATTTAATTTATAACTATAATATGGATGAAAAAAGTTAAATGGTTATCTTATTCAAAATGCTTTTAAAAAAAAGAGCCTTAGATATGATTGATCGTCCAATTAAAATTATACGTTCTGTAATTACAAAAAATAGTTTTGATGCGTTATATTACAAGGAAATTAAATTAATTTGTGATAGAATTTACCTTTGTAGGAACATACAAATGTATATTTCTTAAAAATATTGTTAAAGTTCAAAAGTATTTACGATGTGTAAATATTTTATCATCCAATGGCAAATCAATGGTTGTAATTAGACTCAAGAGCCAAAGACCACATAACACATAAATTAAATAATGCTGTACAATCCGATCTCCAATCAAATGTCAACATAATCAACTTCTTAAAGGAAATCAAATTAATCAACCAAATTTAAGACCTAATGAAAAAGTTAAACTTATATAAAAAAAAAAAAAAATCTAATTAAAAAACTAATGGCTTAGTAGCCGATGTTTTTATTTTCAATAAAAAATAAATAAAAAATAGTTGCAATTAATGATATAAAAAAAAATATTGTAATTTTTACATGTACTACAAATTTACAGTTTTTGAGTATGGTGAGTATTTTAATACTAGACATTTAAATTTTACTGTAACGTTGATAAATTTATATATAATAATTTGGGCGCAAACAAGTATTAAATTGTAGTAAGCGCAATCAAGGTTTTACTATATAGACGCAAATACGGTATTAAGCACAAACACGACCACTTAACCAAAGTGAATTCCACCCAAATAAATGTATAATTAATAAACAAATACTTATATTATAATTAATAAATATTACTTATATATTACTTATATATTTATATACTTAAGTATATTTTTTTTTTCCGAAATTTCCAAAATGAGCCACGTTTTCTACATAATCATCAATAAATATTTCATTATTTTTATATTTTCTAATTATATTTTGCATGTATACATTTATTTTTTTAAACTTTTTTTAACTATATATTTGGAGGAGAAATTGCTTAATTATTTATATAATTATTTGATAAATAATCTAAAAATTGTGTTAATCTATAATCATTTGGCTTAGAACTAATTAAAAATTTTCAAAGTAATCTAAAACCATTTCGGTTTCTAAATTTTTTTTTTTTTCGGAGCAGAATTTTCAAATTCATTTTTATATCTTTCTATTTTTGCGAACGGAATTTACATGTACATATTTTATGTGCAGTTTTTTCTGGGACATATAAATCACCATATACCTTATTTTTACCTGTTCACTTTGGGTGGATTTTACAATGGCCCATGATTTTAGTGATCAAATATTATTATCAATAGGGCGTGGATTTTTATATAAATATGTAATTTTACTAAATGCAGATTTATTTATTCTGATTAAAAATAAACAGGTTTCATAACTCCCTGAATGAAATCAGACTTTTTTTATTTTAAACGAAATCTCATATTTTGACGTAAATTCATATTTTAAATATTTGAAAATTCGCGGGCTGGCAGTGCACACGCATTTCTACGTCACTCTCGGATTATGTTCAGCCCTGAACCTTTTACCGAATGGAAAATTCTATATTTTATACCAATTGACAATATACTTAGTTTTTGACACCAACTGGCAAGCGGATCAACCTTCGGGAGAATATTCCTTCAAATAGAATAATACACTTCATTATATGATTATTATATTATATTATATTATAGTTTCACTATACTATTTCTATATAACGCGTTGCAGTCATAATCCTAACATTAATCTGACTACAGGTACTGTTATACGCGGTGACCTTTGGACTCAGATAATACTGGCAATATAGCCCCGGATACCGTATCTCCAATTACGAGTAAAATTATCAACAACCAAATAATCAGCAAAAACAAAAAAAAACAAACATAGATGGATATATCTATAACAGGTACTTTTTTATACAATCATCAATTAAAAAGTAATGTAAAGTAAAATCATTTTTGATACTATATGTTTTTTATGACATATTTTGACAATAATAAGAACATAAATATTTACATTTATATATATATATATATATATATTTACTTGAGTATTAAATGTATGAATGAAAATATTAAGTTATCATTTATTAAGATATAATTAATCGATTGGATAGTAATAAATGGATAAACATACTAGCATAGCTAAATGAGGCATAGTTATAATTTCTTCTCCGGTTAAAGGTAGTGTCATCATTTCATCAAAAATAAAAGTGTTTTTGAAACTAAATTCAACGGTATCCGATTTAGAATCGTCTTCCAAATCTTCTTTAAATTTCCATTCACTGAATAAAAACATTTAATTTATAAACCATGTATTTTTAGTGTAAAGTATTATTGTAAAATTATAACTTACTGATAAAAATATGGCCCGACTTCTTTCAGTATAACTTTTTCTCCTTTTTGTGCTTCTTCGGGATTAGTTACGTTGAACAAAAAAATTTTAAAATCTGCAGTTATTGGCGGATGTTCCCACATTTGACGCATGGGAGATCTTGGATTTATAGCTTTGCTCTAAAAAAAAAAAAAAACATTTTTATGCTTATTTAACTGATTTTAAAATTATAAATTAAATCATTTTATAAATTTACACAAAAAACATACATTTGTTATCGTTTTAATAAAACTTGATTGTACAATCTCTTACATATTAATACACTAACCTAAACACCATATGCTTCTTCAAAAATAATAAAGTTATAAATGCATAACATTAATTCAGATTAAACTTAGATAAATTACTAAAAATATTGAATTAGATTTATATTACATTACGTACAATAAAATTTATTGTTGTCTGATATGCTCATAGATATGTTTATAATAATATATATATCATAATCTTTTATATTTTTAAAGAACATAACACTGCTTATTATATAAACATATTTATCTTAATTAGTAGAGCTCGGAAGTTAGGATGACCTTAAAAACATTAAAAATTACCTAAAGAATGATGCGAATATGACATAAAAATGACAAAAAATGACCTAAAAATGTACAAATATTTGTTTTATAAATTTATCAAAGCTTTCAAATTACTCAAAAATAAAAATAATTGCATTGTATATAGAGTGTATTTGATGTTATCAAAAGTAAATGAACGACGATTATCTGTTTATAAATATTTACGATATGAACGACGATTATCTGTTTATAAATATTTACACTTTAAAAAATTTCTCTCCACGTCTACTGAAATTATTGGGAGGTAAAGACGAACAATAACCCATGTTTTAATTTTCGTCATTTCGAATATATTACGATAAAAATAATAAAATTTAGATATAATAAGTATCATAATTTAGTGTGTAAGCACAATTTTTCCTATAAATTGAAATTTAAATTGAACATTTGAAATAAATAACTTGAAAAATAAATTGTATTTAAAAAAACTGGTTGAAACTCAAAATTATGGTATAAATATAAGCAAAAAAACAATATTGTCCTCAAAATATGTACATGATAATGATCATAAAATGCATTTTTGATAATTTGATGAAAGATAAATTCAAAATATTTTATAATAATTTTTATTTACGAAGCAATAGTTTATTACAAAATATGATATATTTATTAAAACCAGGGAGTAATATATGGTTTAAAAAAAAAAAAAAAAAAAAACAATGAGTTGTCTGCTTGAAAATTACTAACTTATTTTTAATTCGTCGTAACATTCCCAGATTTTACAAATTTTTCAAGAACTCATATGTATCGTGGTGACCAATAGATTTTCTGAAATACGTTTTTTCAGATTTAAAAATTATTTAACCTCTAAACAATAATCAAAATAGAAAAAGAGTTTTTTGCCTGAAAAAAATGTTCTGTGGATTTGAATAATAGTTGTAGAAATTCATACTAATTTTATGATAAATATTGGCCTGAAAACAATTCTTTAAGATTATTAAATTAATTATTAAAATATATTAATAAATCAATAACAAAACTGGTTGCTGTTTATAGTTTCAGTGTGCATGTGAATACTTCAAATAATAAATTACTTTTATTATTAATAACGTTAATATAACTGTTGAAAAATAATATAATTTATACAATTAAATATTATAAAGATTTTACATTATATTATTTAAAGAACATATAAGCATAGTTCTGATATTATCTTAAGCTTTAATATTTTATCAAAATAAAAGTATTTTTATTTTAAATGTACATAATTAATAATAAAATCAATGCATGTGAGATCAACAATAATTAATAAATATATTTTATCGAATATGAGTTATTGATAGTATATTATAAAAGTAAATAAAAAATAATGTTTTTATCAATTAGAACCAAGAACAGTATATCACTAAATTTTTAAACGGTCACCCATTCGAAAATTAATGACGTGCAAAGTGGTTTAGTTGGTTTCAGCTATCCGACAAAACACTAACCACTCCTTTCACGTCATTAACCTAGAAAAATAAGAATACTATACAATATTAATGTAATAAATCTATAGCTCTTTATTAATTTTCTATAATGTTTACAAAATACATATGATCAATGTATTAGAAAAATTGGAAACTTTTTTTATCTACTATCAGATATCTACTAATCATTATACTATTAGATAATAAATTACTTATTATCTGTATTTTGTATTATATGATAAACAGATAAACATCTAGTTTTAGACCATAATATTATTAAAGTAAGTAATTAATGAGTGTATTTGATATGATTTTACTACTAATTTTAATGTATTTTTCATTGCAATTTTAACATATTTATATTGCAATTTTGGCATCTTTTTAATGCAATTATATCCGGTCTTTAATTATAATTCATATATTAAAAAAATAGCTTGAATGATTTTTATTCGAATAATTGACCTATTTTTAAGCCACGTTGATGGTTTGATGGAATCATTTATTATTCTTATGCATGTCATTTCGTAAAACAAAATATTCAATAGAAGACGAAAATAAATATTTTAACAAAAGATTAGTCGAGAGATTTGAATAGCAATTATGAGCGAAAGGTAAAATATAGATTATAATATGACTTATATAAATAAAAATAACTATTATAGTAACTAATAGTAACTATATCATTATAATTATGAAATGCAAATAACCGAGTGGGTCATAAGAAAATAACTACTCATAAATAATATTATTTTTATTTTTTTTTAAACATCATTCGTTAATTCCAATTAATTTAAAATATAAATCTCACGTTCAAGCTACTAGGGATAATTAGTTGTTAATACCATTAATACCTACTGTAAGTCGTTTTAAGACTAGGTCAAAATATTAGTGAACGAGAAATTTAATGTTTAATTAAATCCATCTGTACCAACTGGCAATCAGACCAACGCATATTTTAGTAAGCTCTCTGCGGATATATTTACCATGAATGTCCCTTTTTTAAGAAAAAATTATAGTTATAAGTTATATATTGTTAGTAATATTAGTTAATTTTGTTGGTAATATTAATTATATAGTATATATATATATATATATAATTATATATAATATTATATATATATATATTAATGTTAATAATTTTAATTCTTCTTAAAAAATTGTATAGGTATTTATATTCATTAAATATTGATCGTGGCTCACAGATTAAAACTAATTGTATTTTATTTGTATGCAGTATAATATAAAATATTATATGCTCACATAATTTATATAATATATTGTCATTATTTTAATTTAATTTAGTTTTATGGATCAAATCATCTGCTTATACAAATCAGCAATCAAGTCAAGTATAAGGACTTTAGATGATTTTATAATTGCAACCCTCCACTTCAAAACATAATTTAAACTACTCAATACTGGTAGTTAAAAGAAGGTCATAAAATATATGTAGTATATTCTTTTATAGTATACAATACATGCATAAACAATCTTGCATCAAAACAACTCTTGGTTTTTAAACTGGGCATACACTATACTAGTTGATGTCAGTATTAATTTTCAGTTCAGAAGTTCTGAAATCTATCCTCAGTAATTCATACTAAAAAGATCTAGTTTTGTCTACCGATAGATTCAACTATGTACTTGGTAGATTTAATAAAACATCGGTAATATTTAGTTTTATGAGTTGAATTTTGAATTCATTTTTGATTTTGATTTTTATGTCATATTTAAAATGTTCAAATAAATAATACAATAACAATACTGATTGGCGTAAATTTGGAATTTATATTATTCAACAGAAGCCAAAACTGAAAAGTGACAGTTCATATGTATACGGGAACAACACACACATATACTTCTTAGAATAAATAATTCACATCTGAATTTCATTTTTCAAGTAATGAACTAAAAATATCTGTATCTGTAATCAATAAAAGTATTTCCTCCCGAAATTTGAAGTAGACAATCAGATGCTCGCACTCAATTCTTACGTTAATCGCCCGAAACACTAACACACCAAAAATAATAGATTACCAATAATTTCTTCATGTACCTATCGTAAGAAAAGATTCCTGGCTTAATAGTCCAATGCCATTAAAGGTAGGAATAGTTTATTCCTATACTGTAATTAGTAATAATATATGTAACTATTATCACGCTGCATGAGCTCACGTGATATCGTATGGGATCACACCACAGGAAAAAAGTGTGGGATAAAGATTTATATAGAATTCTAATGTATCAGCACCACACTAATGTCACTTTACGCTTCTCACATCACATTTCCAACTTCACGCGTGACAGCACGTTTTGATTTTCTAACATCGCATACATTTTTGACTGACATGACCTCACGAATTTTGTTCATAACTAATAGGTTTTCGAAATCGAGTATTTTTCTTTGTATGTCTTTTTAAAAAAAAATCATGCAACTAATCACATTCTTCTTTTGTTATCCGGAAATACACGTGAAACTATCTTAGTTCGTTCCGTAATTCACAAATTAAACGATGGAATTCACCAACTTTTTTTCTTTTTTTATTGATTGCATGCACCTAGCTTAATCGGATTGTTTTTATTATTTACTTCATTTCAAACCACAAAAACAGTTGTAGTTTCTAGTTCTTTTCCTAACTCTGAACTACTTGAAATTTCTATATCCATTTAAATTTTATTTTAGGAAAAAAACATGTATGAACACAGTTTGTAGACAGAACCCAGACTATACTGAGTAACTGTGACGTGATAAAGTATGAAAACTTGATAATGTGACAAAACAGGTAGATTGTTCTAAGCGTGTCATCACGTTTCAGATGTGTCCACGTGATAGTATATGAGCTCACGAAATATAACAATAGTCTGTTATTACTTTAAAACAACAAGTATAAATCTCTGTACAAAATTATTGTATTTTCATCAAAATCGAATGTATAATTGTGTAAGGAAATCTTGTTTTGAGTTGCGCACATACATTTCACTTATTACGTTTAGTAACAACTGTATTTTCGAATTAGGTATATATATATACGAGTATTACTCATCAGTTTAATAATTAACTAAAATAATAATATAAAACGTATATATTCGAGAATAAGCTTGATTATTTTTATATGTGAAAAAAAAAAACTAAAATAT